AGTGAAACATTATTTTACACCACCATGATATATAAAAAAATATGTCCACGGATTTATATACATATGTATAAGAAAAGAAAACTCCGTATCACTTTAAAAATTAGTCTTGGCTAAATAGCATTGCTGTGATTATTACAGTAGCATGGCTGGAGTTAAATGCAAACAGGAATGAACTGTACAATGTTAAGATAGTATATGTCTCTGTTTATTTCCAACGTATTCACTGATGACTTTATAAACTCTCCTGCTGTTTTACATTTAGAGATTCCATTTCTAGGCTAAGAGTCCCCATATTTCAGTAGTCTGAAGATGTTAGCTATGACCATTAAATGTTTTAATCTTATATAACCAATTAGATAAGAAAGTGGACTTTAGACCAGACTGCTGAGATTCTAATCCCAGCTCCCCAATTATTATCTATGTAATCCTGGGCAAAAGTCCTAGCCCCTTCTTTCCATTGATTTTCTCATCTATAAAATAGCTATAGTAATACTCCCTGCTCCTATGATGGCTGTATATGAGTTAATGTTTTAAAAATTCTTACAACCATACCTAGCATACTGTAAATGCTATATAAGATCAGTAGGTAAGTTAGAAAACAAAACTTCACATGCTTTTTTTCACTAACAAAGAAAAAAATGAAGAAAAATGCCAGCTCTGTGCTTTTTGGAACCTCCCATTGGAACTAGAATCCTACAGTCTCCGCTCCAAGGGAGTGGTGTGCTTATTCATTCAGTAATTTGAGGGCCGACTCTGCGATGAAACTGACTATGAATCAGATACAGCCTCTGTCACCAAAGGGCTTACAGTCCGGTTAGAGATCTGAACTCTAATCCACTTTTTTAAAGGATGATAACTCTTAAGTCTAGAGAAGTTGTGCCTTGCTCAAGGTCACGCAGCTAAATAGCACCAGAGGTGAAACCAGAAGCTATGTCTTTCTACAACTCTCAGTTCAGAGCTCTTCCCAATGGGCCACCCACTCTTGTGAGCACATCTCAGCTTCTATTTGGGACACCACCTAGTTTCATGACCTTCCCTTCTTTGCACCCACCGCCAAACCGCTCCCAAACTTGGAGCCTAGGGTTTAGAAACGAAAAACGGTAAGCCCTTAAGAAAAAGCCACACACTGCGCGTTTTGGACCTTCCCTGCAAGAAAAGAAAGCGTTACTCTTTACATTCTGCGGTAACTCTTCCAGCAAGGTTGAGGCCATAAAAAAAAAAAAAAAAGGCAAAGTGGTCTTACTCAGGACCGAAAGGGTGGAGTCCCCGCCCCCTGATGCAGCTTGCAGCAGCGGGCACTGAAGACAGATGGGGAGCCACCTGTCAGAGGGCTGTGGGCGGGGTCCCGGGCCGGGAAGGCCGGGAGACCGGAGGGTGTGCGGCTGAGCGCACGCTCAGAGCCGACAGCTTGCAGAAGACGGGAGGTGACCGTCTAAAGCCCTGGGAGCTGCCGGCCAGAGGGAGGGAAAGGTAGTCACGGTACCGAGGCCGGATTACGGGAGGGAGAGGATCCTGCAAGGAGGGACGGCTGAAGCGGGTGCGGCGGCTTTAGCCATTGGGCGGGGGGGTAACGCAGCGGCGCTGCGGGCGGGCCCTGCGGGGCGGGCGATGCTATGTCTCGCGAGCGGCCCCCCCGCACGGACATCCCCCGCAACCTGAGCTTCATCTCCTCGCTAACGGAGCGAGCCTACTATCGCAGCCAGCGGCCCAGCCTGGAGGAGGAGCCGGAGGAGGAGCCAGGAGAGGGCGGGACGCGCCTCGGGGCCCGATCCCGCGCTCAGGCTTCGAGTCGGGGCCGCAGGGCTCGCTCGGCACCCGCCGGAGGCGGCGGGGCCCGGGCGTCCCGGAGCCGTAGCCCCGACACCCGCAAGAGAGTGCGTTTCGCCGACGCGCTGGGGCTCGAGCTGGCCGCCGTGCGCCGCTTCCGCCCGGGAGAGCTGCCCCGGGTGCCCCGCCACGTGCATGTCCAGCTGCAGAGGGACGCCCTCCCCCACTTCGCGCCGTGTCAGCCCCGCGCCCGCGGCCTTCAGGTAGGCTGCAGAGGCTCGCCTCTCCTCCGGGACCTCCCCATCCCCGCCGTCCGCGTCGGGGAGTGGACTTAGCGAGGAATACCCGTCCTCACCCGCAAGCGCGGGCTGGCTTCCCTTTTGGTGGAGGGCTCTAGGCTACTTTTGCCGCTGGGCCGCGCTCTGACCGCTGGGACCCGGGGTCGGGCTCGGGTCGGTCCAGTCCCTCGCTCTGCCCCCACCCCGGTCTCTGCCCCCTCTTCTCCGAGGTTCTGTCCTCCCTCTCGCTCTTTCGTCCCCAGGAGGCGCGCGCCGCCCTGGAGCCCGTCCGCGAACCCGGCTTCGCCGCCCGTTTGCAGGCGCAGCGCATCTGC